CCAGGAGCCCCACGTAGTGCTCGAGGTGGGGTACTCGGGCCTGCGGAAGACAGCGCTGCCCCTGAGGCCCCGGGTGTCCGTCCAGGACTCCGCCCTGCGCACCGGCAACTTCTCCCTGCGCATCGCCCCGGTCCGCCCCGAGGACGCCGGGCTCTACGAGGCACGGGTGGCGTACGACTCCCAGCTCCAGAGCTGCCAGGTGAACCTGGGGGTCGTCACAGGTAGGAGAAGGTGGAGACCCTGCAGAATGTTTGGATTAGGAGCGAGGAGGTTGTAAGGGTGGGATGGGGTGGGGACGCCGTGTCTGCCAGGGCAGGTGAGAGCACAGGCAGCAGCCTCCTGACAGCGCACGGCCTCCTGCTGTCTGCTCTCAGCTCTGGAGAGAGGGCTGCCCGAGGGATGAAACTAGGGCAGGAGGGGCACAAAAGGATGGTGTGGTAGTCCCCCTCCACTTCGCTTCCCCTCCACTGCCACTTTCTTTTTCTTGCAGTAACCCTCACTCCTCCCAGCCCTGTGGTAGAAAATGAGCCACTCATGGTGAGCTGCAACTCTAGCCACCAGGCCAGCCTCGTGGAGACATGCTGGTTCCACGACAGGCACCTGGTCCCCACCTCCAGGACCTTCTGCTCCTTGCATGGGGCTCTCTCCATCTTCCGGCCAGCCATGAGTGATGCAGGCTCCTGGCGCTGCCAGCTCAGATACTCTGATAATGAGATCATTTCTGCCACGTACAACCTCCAAATTCTAGGTGAGCTCAACATCTGCTCTGTTGTTACTCTGGCACCCTCAAATTGCTCCTTCTGATGTGACTGACCAACCCCAGTGGCTCCAGCTTCCCAGCTCCCGCCCTGTCCTCACCTCCTCACTTTGCAGGCCAGTCACCTCCCTGTGGAGCTCTTTCCAGCCACTAACCCACGTTGTCCTTTCTCTCTGGCACAGGTTTTGATGGCCCAAGCAACCCCGTGGTCTATGCTGCACCTGGCTCTGCCGCTGATCTACTATGCACCCTAAACTATCCTCCCAGTGCCTTTGGGATCAAAGTGGTGACAGCCCACTGGAGTCACCTTGCAGGAGGACATGTGCAGGACAGGCACAGCTCCCCAAATTCTAGCAGCAGAAGCTTCCCCCTTCACCTTCCTGCAGTGGAGCCAGGCCATGCAGGGCAGTACCGCTGTGCTGTCTCCATTGGCAGCAAGACAATCAGCAGAGACGTGACCTTGGCAGTGATAACGGGTGAGCTAGGTGCATCACCCCTCTGGGGTCCCCTACTGCTTTCAGACAAACCTCCCCACATGTCAGTGCTGTGAGCATGGGCTGGTCCTTCTCTTAGGTTCCCGCCCCAGGGTGGGAAACAAGGTCTCTGCTAGGGCACTGCACTGCACTGGACTCTGATGAAAGCAGGGGTTTCCTGGGTAACTTGATTACTCTTCTAAAGACTGAGAAAGACAAAGAAAATAAATCAGAGGAAGTAATAAAGGAGGGGTGTAATAGAGGAAGGAGGGATGAGGAAGAGATGTGGACCAGCCTGTACTCTTTCCTGAGGGCATGTTTTTTTTCTTTGCTGCAGTCACTCCGAGCATCCAAGGACCAGTTTCCGAGGGGTCTCGCTTGCTGCTCATCTGCAGCCTTACACACGCCCAGGGGCATGAACGTTTCCAGTGGAAGCACCTCGGTTCAGCCCCCACCAACAGCAAGCTGGCAGTGGCCACCTCCCATAAGCTGAAGGGCCACAGACCCCAGATGGGCCCCATCTTGGAAATACCTCAAGTGTCACAAGAGGATATGGGCACGTGGGAATGCAGTGTACATGGCCCAAAAGGCAGACTGGGGGCAGTGGAGTATGGGCTGCATATCACAGGTACTGCCCCCCATGGATCTGTCACTGAGCCTTTTTTAGTCAACCCCCTGGTGTCTTTTCCTCTCTCGGCCTTACTTACCCTGCCCTTCTCCCCTTGGACTGCTTGAATCTCATCCTGTTGTGATCCTGTCTGAGCTCTCACCGGTTCCTCCTGTTGTTCCTTCCACTCTTTTTCAGTTTGCATGTTTTTGTGCAGTCCTAGCTTCACCCCAGAGCAAAATCAGCCTTCCCCTCCTTCCTAACTGTGGTTACTCTTCACAGGTGCCCAGGTCTCCAACCCTCCCACCATCTCCAGTGGGCAGGTTACTTTCGGGATCACACTCACCCTCTTCTTCCTGCTTACAGTCTGTGTTCTGGCTCTGGTCCTACAAAAAAGGGTAAGTGTCCATCATCCCATTTCTGTTAATTTTCCTGTACATTAGCCCTTATTTGATGTTCCCCTGGGTACTCTAGAGACAGCAGTGAAATGCCTCAGGGACACAGCAGCCAGAGGAAGAACGGGGCTCAGGCACCACACTGAGGGTGTCATAGACATGTAGTGAAAGCTGTATCCTGGGCATGGGCAGGTCTGGCTAACTGTGGCATTTGTCAGAGGGCAAGACAGACATGTCAGAGAAGGGGTAAAACCACCTAGGACACAATCACAGCCCAGTCTTGAAAAGCTTCTTGTTTATTGTCCCAGAGATCAAGTCATGCTGTAATAGAGGAGGATTAACTTCTAGGCTTTTGTAGGTGTCCTCTCTCTTATTCCTTATCCGGATGCTTTGACATGGCAGTGTCCTGTTTCATATAAATGCCTGCTGGCCCTCAGATGCTGATCTCAATGCAGGTCTGTTGTTGCTGGCTCAGCCCTCACACCTCAGATGTCTGCTTCTGGCATCTTACTGCCCTTTGTTTGCTCAGCTTGTTCCAGTATTTCATCTTCTGAAAACTCTGCCTTGCATTCATGATCCCAAAGACCAGTCCAGGACTGACCCCTCCCCAGCGTGCCACTTGAAAAAAAATTGCAACCAAGTCAGACCTCTCCTCTGCAGTTTTCACACTGTTTCTCTGCAAGTGAATTGCATGACAAATTCTTCTTTCAGGGTCTCCCTTTGCTGACAAGGGACACCTTTCATGAGTAGCTGTGATGTAGTTGCCTTCTAACCTAGCTTCTTGGAAAGAGCCCACAGTGAAAATCACCTTCCAGCGCAGAAGGGGCCGGGAGCTCAGAGTGATCTCAGGTTGGGAGAGCTTGCCCTGGGGAAACTGCTGGGTGCCTTGAATCTGTCTTGAGCTGAAGGTGAGGGATATGACAGCATTGATGCAAATCCCTATCAAGTCTCAGTGGCTGGAGGCTGAAGACAAGCAGCATCAGAACAGAAGCAAAATGGGCATTTTGAAAAAAAACACTGCAGCTAGTGCTAGAGTGACTCATGGCTGGTTCTTTGTCATCGGTCCCCAATCAGCACTGATGATAAAGGATAATCTGAGGCAGAAATCTAGGGTTCCTGGAGGATGCTCTAGACCATGCAAGTCCAGATCAAGATGATCAGAACCACCCTTTCTGGCCCAAAATGCTGGACAGGAACCCCTTGGCAGTGTAAAGCCTCAGCTAGCAGGAAAGGGGATACCTGGGTGTCCAGCTGTTAGCTCAAGCAGCTGTAACCCACCCAGGGTATTTGCCACCCCAAAGCATCTGTATATGCCCTCATGGCTTGCCAAGCAAATTCCACTGTTGCATCACAAGTCCTCCATCCATGGATGCCCTCAGGCCCTTCTCTGCACATTTTCCCTGGTGGGCTCATCCTTTGTGCGAGTGCAGATGAGGTGTGTTGAACAAAGATATGAGCTCTCCTCTTGTTCTCTCCCACCTTCTGACGGCATTCTCTGAGATGATATTTGCTCATTTGCACTGGTGAACACGGGCTGCTCACCAGTATTGCTTTATGGGCTGTTGCCCACACATTAGACATTCCTCTTTCGACCCCCTGAGCTTACCCACATGCAGTTGGTGTCTCTGCCTTGGATTCACCCTGCATTCACTTCACTGCTCCATTCCCCTAACATATCTGGATCTCTGGGGACATTTTCAACCTCTTTCTTCCAAATGAGGCTTCTCAACTTTATCAGCTACATAACTCATTAGCACTTGTACACTCTGTGCCATTAAGATTGGTCCCACGAATAATCTTGGAAGACTTGTGCTTATCATTTCCATGCAACCTGGCAGCAACCTGCCAGCAAAATCCCAGTCTCTTACTCTCAGCTAACACCTACCATGCCATTCTTTTACTAACATCATCTTTCTTGTTATATTGACTGTCTGTGTGTCACCTTTATCAGAAGCCCTGAGAGAAGCCCTGAAATCTACTTCTTTGCCATTGTCTAGAAAGGCACTTCCTAAAGCAAGATGTGAAAGTCTTTCTGTCTTTAATTTGTTGCCTGGTTTTGCATGAACCTTCATGACTTTAATTATAGTCTCTGAAAAGGTGTTGTAAAATCTGGCATACCACTGAACCTCACAACAACCATGCAGACCCCTCAGGAGGGTCTAGGGATGGCATGAACACACCAGGAGGCCGGGGGAGCTCTGTGCCTGAAGAGGGGGAAGCTGCATAACAGGGCAAGACAAGACTCATGGCTGCAGTAAGGTGACAGGCAGCCCAGATCATTCTTTGGCCTCTCTTAAGTGTGTCCTACTTTTTGTTATTCCTTATGTCCATGACACCACAGAAGATAGCGTTGAACCAGGCTGCCCCAGAAGAAACTGCATGTCTCAGAGAGTGGGACTGGGGCTCCTCCCTAGCTCTAGGAGAGAATGGGAGTCTCATGATTGCAAGCAATGGTTGCAAGCAGTAATTGCAAGTCTTCCATGGCAGGGAGAAGTCCATCCTTGTGCATTCAGTCTGGCTCCCATGCCTGATATTGCCTCTTACTTCCTTTTCAGGCACGGTCTCTTGCCTTCCCAGCGCTGGAAGGGATGATTGCAGTCACTGTGCCAAGGAAGGAGATGGAAGAAAACCAGAAAGAGAAGAGCCACCAAACTGCCTGCTGATGGGAGCAGGGACACCAAGTGCAGTCTGCATGGGAGGATGAAACTCTGTCATGCTGCAGAGAGATGGGTGCCATGCAGACCTCTCAGGAGGGTCTAGGGATGGCATGGACACACCAGGAGGCCGGGCGACCTCCGTACCTGAAGAGGGGGAAGCTGCATAACAGGGCAAGACAAGACTCATGGCTGCAGTAAGGCAACAGGCAGCCCAGGTGCTTTGGAGCTATTGCAAGTCTTTGAGCCAATAACTATTGCCTGCTTCAGCACCACTTCTTTCTACCACCTTTTGCCCCTCCTTCATGACCTCTCTCCCAGCCTTTCTTTGGTGGGACACTTAGAGGAGGGGGATGGCTGGACCCCAGCTGCCCTGCAGCCCAGTGGCTTTTCTCCCCACTGCCCGCTTGCTTCTCCCTTCCTCAACAGCACGTTGCACATTTTATGCATTTTATTTTATTAGAAACTCATTTCAGAATATAAAATAAACCTCTCTGAAAAAAAAAAAATAAAACAACACACAAAAACTCTGGACCCTGTGTGTGCTTGTGGAGGATCAGAACTATTGATGATGCCGGGTGTACCTCTGTGTGAAGCAGCTTCTAGGGACTTTGCCACTTTCTCTTTCAGTTCTGTTTTACTGATGTTTCCTGTTAATCTCTGACATTCTCACAGGGGGAAGGGGAAAATAAATGCCACTAGAAAAGAATTACAGGTTCAGTCTCCTTTTTGCTGTGCTTCAGAGTCTTTTCTTTTTTTTCTTGTCTGGCTGTCCCTATTCATTCATTCATTTATTCCTTTAGTGCTCACATTTTCCTGATAGATCTTCAGCTGATGTTAAGGCTCTCTGTCACTCTCCTCCTGCTAAGGATGTACTGAGTAATTTTAAGTGTGATTCTGCCAGGTCTCATCTCTCAAGACCCTCAATGCGTCTAGGTTTAATGTAGTCAGAGAATGCTCCTCACATCCTCTCTGAACAGCCACAGAGGTGCTCTTGAACAGTTATTGTGTGCCACCCCAGAAGAAAGACTCACTAGTAAAGAGGGTCACACATGTAGCTTCTCCCATATGAGTCCCCAAGCCGTGGCTGCTTAAGGAGGTGGTGGTACAAAAATTAAACTCTGAATGTTTAGGATGGGAGATTCTCTTGACTTGAGAGCTTCACTACCAGGCCAGTTTTCCATTATTTCAGCAGGTACATGAAGAGGCCTTCTTGCTGTGTATCTCCCACCTTCCCCTGGTGAGAGGTTCAGGCATACAGGTAATGAATGCATTCTGAGATCCTCAGACTGCAAGCAGTGGAGCAGCACCCAAAGAAATCCCTAGCCCGCTCCGGGGAGCATGTCTGGACTCCATTGCTCTTTAGCTACTCAGCCATGAATTTTACTGAAAATTATATCCATTTCTCCACTGGATCCTAGAGAAAGGCAATAGGGGTGTGAGGTAGACTTGTCTGCTTCAGCTCTTTCATACAGTTTCAGGCAGACACTGAAACAGAACCAAGATAAGGTAGGACGGTCCAGCCTGGTACCAGACATCTTCCTAGGCAAATGATAATGCTGCCATTTTTTCAGGTTGGAGTTATCTGTCTAGCTCAGCCTCCTCTCTGCCAGATGCTTTGGAGATAGAGGAAAAGTGGGTTAGCCCCAGTGGGGCTGACACCACACAATCTTCATCAGGACCACATCATATTCTCTCAGTGCCTGATAGTGGTTTGCTCTTTCTTCTCATAAACAATGGGATGCTCTCTTCTCCTGTAGATAATACTTTTAGCATTGCCTGTTATTAGCCTGGATATTCTCAGTGCTCAGGTGTGTGCCCAGTCTGTCTTGAAACCTCACCGTTTTCTTGTATTCTCTGACTTCCTCTGGCAACCAGTCCTCATGTCTGCTTACTTAATGTATGAGAAGTATTCCCTTATCAGTTCTGAATTCAAAGCTTTCTGTTTTCATCATCTGTTTCCTTTTATCCTGTCACAAAGGCTGGAAGAGAGATTCTCAATCTACTGTCTCTTGGCCAGTCATTACCCTACCACTCTACCACGTCCCGGGTTTTTATTTCCCTGTCACCTCCTGACTCATTGCCTTTCAGGTACAAATATCAGATTTTGGGGACTTTCTCCCTGCCAGCTTACTCAGGCTCATCTCTGTGTGTGGCCAGCTCTCCTCAGACCCTTGGTTTTGGAAGAGCAGCCTGGTGGGGGAGCTGTGCTGGCTTACATGGAGGCACACACCTTTCTCTGCATTACTTCCATCCTGCCCTTCACGGCTCCCAGTGTCTTGACTGTAGTTGCCCATGAACAACACTGAGCTGCCTGCTGTGTCCCCGGTGAAATGCCTGTAGTGATGGCCAGGGCTCTTGCCTGACCTGGCAAGACTTAGTTACAGTAAGCCAGAGCCTAGAAGTATTTATGCATTTACAATTTCCTTCTAGCTACATGACTTTGATAACAGTGATGCTGAATTTCGTTTCCCTTCCTGTTGCTGATAAGCACAGCTTTCTTACGTGTCTTCAAAGCTCTTGTCATCCACCTCCTGAGAAATTTCAATAGCTTCATGTCATCTGCATACTTAACCTTCTTGCCACTTACCTCCTTGAACACTAGAAAGTCATGTCTTAATCTAGGTACTTTTGGGCCTCGCTGTTTCTTCTGATGACAGCTGGCAGTTTAATCCTCTTTTCATCCCACCCTTGGGCCAGTCTCAGCTGCACAGCAGAGCTGTCCTACTAACCCCTATGCAGGGTCAATCCATTGCCCTCGTTAGACCTGCAGCTCCAAGGAGACAACAAGGTGCAAGCTGTTCAAGATGTAAAATGCAAGCTGAGCCCTGGATTATTTATTGTAACACATTGACTCTCACTTCACCTATCTTCACCAAGAGCTGGTGATACTTGAAGCCCGTTTGACCAGAGGCATTCCCCCAGTTAGGTTTGGTTAGGCTGCGAGACTTGGGTATGCAGTAAGCACCTCCACAATTATTGTAATAGCTGTAGCATGCCCTGAAAATAGTTTCTTTGTAAGAGAGAGGACAGCTGTGGCTGAGATGTATGACCTATGTAGGTTAGGATGACCATCTGCAAAGCCTTCAAGGCCTCATACGTGGTTGTGTATAAGCACAAACACAAGTTCCACCAGCTCTGAAGTGCTGAGAACGATAGCTGGAGCTTCACCAATTTTGCAGTCTTGCTTTTGTAGCCAGCAGAGCACTTCACACAGATGATCATTCCTGACAACATACAGGCACCAGCAAAAGTGACAAGCATGGCCATTGAGTTGCTTAGTTTGACAAACCTCAAGGAAAAATGCTTGAAAGCCAGCCTCCACCCAAGCAGAAATAGCTGCCTATGGCCACAGGAAGCTTTACCTCCCAAATTCTGCAGGACAAAGAATAGATGAGTGCAACACTAGGAAGTAGGCAAATATTTCTGAATCACAAGGTAAATCAGTAGGGTTGGAACAGAAGGACCAAGAGTCTGTACAATAAAGCAAAAAAAAAAGAAATCTGGAAATCTGTCCCAAGTGAAGTCAATAAATAGGAACAGCAAATAAAGCAAATGACATACGAAGGAAAGAGACCTGATGCTTCTCCACAAAGATACAGCTATGGTGCAAAAAATCACATAAATATTTCCAGTGTTTCCAGTATTTCAGTACCAGAGGCAGAAAGTCTGAGAAAAACACAGCAAGTCTCATGGATTCCCTTTTGCCAGAGGGGAGCAGTTAAGGAAGGAAAAGAAAGTGTTAAGTGTACAAATTCCTTTGCATCTGACTCCTTCAAAAGGAATGGGAAGAAGGTCTTCAATCCCAAATTAATGTTGTTTTTTGGGGTTTTTTTATAAAAAAAAGATGAGCACTTCCAGGAAAAAAATCATGACTAGGCCCAGATATTCTGCATCCAAGACATTTGAGGGGTTTCAAGTGGTAGGCTAAGTGCGTGCTAGCTGATGAAGAAGCAACTAGAAGCAACACAGCTTTTGTGGTCTTGGTACATTCTGCACAGACTTTTAAAAACAATAAAAAAATCAGAAACAGATCTTGAATTATCTAGGACACTAGGGCATACTGAGTTTTATATCTGCTTGGCAAATTGGTGAAAACAATATCAGCACCAATACTGAAAAAAAAAAGAAAAAACCCACCACATGCCTTACTACTGTGCTTGGATTTCTTCTCAACACCTTGATACAGCAATGAATAAACCCAAAATGACTGGGGTCCTTCACTTTGCTTTCCAAAGGTTCCCTCAAACCAAGCTCCTTACAGGAATGCTGTTGTAGGCACCGCATCTCGTGCCACCCACTGCGATCCAATGCATCTGGGACAGTCATTACGTAGCTGTTGACTCCATCATGCTCAAGAGCTTCTATTCCTAGGTTTCTGCCTTGCTGGTCTGTCAGTTGAATGCAGCTCCCTCCAAAAGCTGTCATGTGGTGCACTCCGAAATGGATGTCACTCCCACCTGAAGGGATGGATGTGTTTCAGAAGGTCTTACAGTAAGAGGATATAGGGCACTCTCGAGGACCCAGGACACTCTGTGCCCAGGAAAAATGGCAGGAAATGACACACAAGGGCAGCTTTTGGAAGGACTTGTTAATTCTCATTCTTACTGAGTTTTCTCATGTTCCTCTTCTATTACACTTGGTGTCTTCCTCTCTTGTCACCAGGTCAGCATCTCCTTTTTTTTCATGGAAAATGACATGGCTTTTTGGACAAAGGAAGATGTACCAGCAGACTCCCTAACAAGCTTTGGGGGCTAGTAGGAGTTCAGGACCCTTAGGTCAGGCACTTCCCAGCCCTGTGAAGCCTCCCATGCTGGTGACTATAGGTGCCCAGGCCTCCCCAGAGGGTCCCCCTGCCTGCCCCAGCGCTTGGCCCCAGGCATCGTCCCACATCCCCAAAGCCCCAGCTACCCAGTGGGTTCCCCAGCCAAGGGTGGTCCCTTTTTTGTAAGCAAAACCTTACAGTGCGTGCTAGTAAGTTGGATCCCACCTCGATGCTCCAAGCTGCTTCCAGTGCAGTGTTCCAGACTCTGTACTGACGAAACACCTCCAGGTGTGCATCATAACAAGTATTGTCACCAACTTCTCACTCTTCCTTTTGCTAAGCCCACAAATAGTAAGATAGTAAGGAATCTTGCAAGCTGAAGCAGAAGTTGTTCCACCTCAACATGAGGAAGAACTTCTTTCCTGTAAGGTTTCCAGAGCAATGGAACAGGCTCCCCAGGGAGGTTGTGGAGTCTCCCACCTTGGAGACTTTTCAGACCCGTCTGGATGCGTTCCTGTGTGACCTGCCCTAGACTAGATGGTCCTGCTCTGGCAGGGGGGTTGGACTCAGTGGTCTCCAGAGGTCCCTTCCAACCCCTAACATTCTGTGATTCCGTGATATTCATCCTACACAAGTCCTTAAAAACTCCTCTAGTCATCTCTCTCCTGCCTGTTTTATTTCTGACACATCTTTAACATTGGCACAAATGAACCTTCATGGTACCTGCTTAGAGAGGCCTCTCTTCCTAGTTTAAGCTCTGGCAGAGACTTCAAGCACCTGCAGAGAGGTATGTCCCCCAACACAACCTAGGGGACTTCCTCTCTGGGGTACATAGCTGTGCTGTGGCAAACCACCAGGCCTCCTCACCCGACAGCCGGTTGTTTCTAGCTCTCCACATCTAGCTCAGAAATGCCCCTCAACAAGCCCAACAGCTGTTAGGTATTCTGTTACAAAAAGAAAGCTCTTGGCCTTTGAATCTGCTGATGTTCAGGTGCCTGAGGATAAGGTTTTCATACTGTGTTCAAAACTTGTCCTTCCTTCTCTCCAATACCACTGAGCACTCACTGATTTTCCAATCTATCTGGGTATCCTCTACCTATGAGAGTTCACAGGCACTTTCCTAGCCCTCACTGATGGGAACCTGGGTTTAAGAAGACTGTCTCTGGAGGTTTCGTGGCTTTTCAGTGGAGCCTGTAAAAGGTCTTTCTCAACATCTGATTTCTGAGACCTTTTTCTGTCTTTTTTACACTCCCTCGGAGAGACTTCATTCCCCTGCAGACTATGTCCTCCACCCAGCATAACCTGGGAACCTCCTCTCTCAATGGAAAATTTTTTACTCATCAACCCCAATTTGCAAAAATACTGCTGGTGATAGGATTAGAGCAAAGACAGGCAGCATGGGGTGGGTGGAGAGTGTCTCTGCAGGGGAAGAAGACAGGGAAACATGACAATCCCAGGCTTGGCTGGGTGGTGGTTGGCTGTTAGCTGTGTGTAGTACTCGGGCTCTTCTTCCCAGTCTGCAGTAGGGTCAGTGTGTGATGCTGGATAAACCCCACTTTCCCCAGGGGTGCATTACAGCCACTGTCCCAGCAAGGTGAGCACCAGAGCATGGAATTTAAAAACCAGTTAGATATTGATGTGAAGTATTACATTCAGAGGACAGACCAGCTGGCTAATATTATTGGTCCCTCCTGGATTCTGATATTTAATTAATGGTTGCAAAGTGCTTTGAGATGCTTGGATGAAAGTGATACAAACTTGTCACTGTACGCTGTGACCCTTGGCCCCAGAGGTACCTGTTTACCACCCAGCTGTAGCAGCTCTGAGAGATGAGGGTCTCTCCTGGATCCCTTCCCTGGGGTGAGAATGGGCAGTGTGGAAGCTAAGCTTTGTCCTCCTCAGACCCACAGCCCTGCCTCTCCTTGCAGCTCTGAAGCAAGTACAAGTGCATTCTGAAAGCTTTACCACTTCCTAGAATGCTATTTCTGGTAGATATTTGAAGTGACACGAATCAACTGTTTAAAAACGAGCCAGTGTTTCTGCATTACAGCGTGCTGGGAAGACAAAATGCAAGCCAGAATCCATGCGAACTGAAGCATCAGCTCAACGCCCCACAGCCCCAGGCCCCAAGCAACCAGGGTCTTATAATCACAACCTGACTTTTCTTAGCTCTGTTTTTCCCAGGACAGCCCTCTGGCAGCTAGGGACCAGAGGGGACATTTCTATTTGGAGGCATGTGAGAGTGTTTTGAAGATACTGCTGTGATGCAGTAGGCTCTCATGGAAAAGCTGTTTCTCAGAACAAGGCTTTCACAGGCTCTGGACACTTGCAGAGTGCCCACTCCATTCCATCCCATAACCTGTATCCTACACTGGGAAGCTTCTGTCTCACACAGGTGTCTCTTGCCCTGTGATGGGACAGCTTCATCTTTCTCCAAAGACACAACCAATGGACTAGCTGTTGTCCAATTTTTGTCCTGTTACTTGAGGCCTGATCAGTGCTGTTTCTTTTGTGCTTCATGGCATGTTACAAACCTCGGTGCTGTGTCTGTACACCCCTGCTCCTCCAAAGCCTGGTTGCATCTCACACCCCCATCCTTTGGGCAAAGGGGCAAGTCACTACCACAAGGAGAAGAGTGGGTGGCGCAGAGATGAAATCTCAGCCATATCTGGGGCTCAGTGGGTTTCCGCTGTCTTGGCTGAGGCTGGGATTCAGAGAGAGAGACACCAAATGTGGGTGGGAAACCACAAAAGCCCCCCTCCTCCACCCTACAGAGAAGGGAAACAGCTGAGATTCAGTAGCAGTGCAGGTTACCTAAGAGCAACCTTGTATTGGATTTGCATGGCAAGGTTTTAGTAGCCAAGGGGCTGCATGGGTGACTTCTGTGAGGTGTGAGCAGGAGCTGGCCTCATGTCAGTCAGAGCCATGCCTATCCAGCCCCAAAACAGACCCACTGAGGGCCAAAACTGAGCCAACCAGCAATGCTGATGGTGTCTCCATGATAACATATTTAAGAAAAGGTAAAAAACACTCCACAGCAGCTGTGAGAGAGGAGTGAGAAAATGTAAAAGAAACAGCCCTACAGACACCAAGACCAGTGAATAAGGAGGGAGAGGAGGTGCTCCACCTAGGTACTGAGACACAGATTCCTCCACAGCCCCTGGAGAAGACCATGATGATTGCATGCTGTGCCCCTGCAGCCCATGGAGGTCCATGTTGGAGCAGATATCCATACTGCAGTCCCTGGAGATCTGCGCTGGAGCAGGCTCCCCGCAGCAGCTGTGGCTCATGGAGGACCCATGAACATGAAGAACTGAAGCCCATTGGAAGGACCTGCCCTGGAGCACTTCACAAAGGTGGAGCAGGGGAGCAGCATGAACAGGAAGAAGCAGCAGCCACAAAGTGCTATGAACTTTGCTATGACCACAACACATACTACCTGGTCCCCTGGGGTGAAGAAGGAAGGGCAGAAGAGTCAGCTATGAAGCTGAGACTGGGAAGAAAAGGAGGGTAGGAGAAGATAGGTTTAGTTTTGTTTTCATTTGTCACTATCCTACTCTGCTTTTAATTTGCCATAAATGAACTCAATCCTCCCCTGAGTCAAGGCTATTTTGCCCACGATGGCAACTGGTAAGTGATCTCCCCATCCTTATCTTGACCCGTGAGGTTTTTCTCGTATTCTCACCCTGCCTTGCTGAGGAGGGAGAGTGAGAGAGCAGCTGGGTGGGCAGCTGGTGGCCAGCCAAGGTCAACCCACCACTGCTACAAAGAAAATATTCTCTCACCTCACCCCAAATCTCAGCCATACTCCACAGGCAGGTGCCCCTAAGATATCACCAGGGATCTGCTCTTCCTCTGTTACTATCCCTGTGCAGCCTCTGGTGTCAGGTCCGTGGCCCGTGCACAGAGATGCCTCCTTTTAGCTGTGGTGCAGAAGACAGGCTGGGACATGGAGGTCAGCTTGATCTGACAGAGTATCAGAGGTGCGGGCTGGGTCTGCACGTGCTCTGCTCACCCGTTAATTTGCAAGATTTCTTTGCAAGGAGAGCAGAACCAGTTTCCAACCATTCGCTTTTAAGTTTCATCCCCGTCACGGCCTCCCATCAGCTGCCATATGGCCAATAGGCTCTCTCTGTTCTACACTCATTCTCCCTGGGCGCTGCAGTACGTCGCTTTCCGCTATGGTCTCCGTTTCTGCTCAGACCCAGAGCTGAAATCACACGCGTTTGGAAAACCACCCTCTACCTAGAGAAGCTGGCAGATGCCAGCAGAACGTGGACTGGCAGCAAGACCGTGCTGACGCCCCGGCTGGAGAGGAGGAGACATCAAGGCCAACGTCTGTTAAGCTGCTTTCTGAACATCAACTTCGTTCCTCTTTTGTTTCAGCTGTAGCTGGGTGAGATCAATTCCTGCAGGTGACAAGCACAAGGAGACAGAACACAGAGGCAGAGAGGAAGAAAAAGAGGTAAGAAAACTTTTCTTTCTCTCTTTCTCTGAGAAAAGAGGCCAACCTGGTTTAGGGTTTTTTTTTATGCTGTGAACTTTACTATTCCACACAAGTTGCTGTTTCGGCACAGATGAAGTGGGTTTGCCCCACTTAAAGGTCTGATGTAAAACCAGCTTGAAACTTGGACTTGATAATACTTCTGGCTGTGCAGTTCCCCGAGGCCTTTTAGTTTTAATCAAAAAGCATATGCCGCTCTGGATTTTTCCCTGAAAGGGGCAAAAAAAAAGAGGGACCTATGCAAAGTTCAACCTGCCTCCAAGCCTGGGGATCTCACAGATCTTTTAAACCAGCGCATACAGAAATATGTCTGATATGAGGGCCTGTCACTGTTGACTATATATCCCCAAGGAAATGCACTGGGGAGTCCTTCACCAACTGCCACTTGCTATCACCTTCCCCACATGCCCTCCAGGAAGAGGAATTTTATTCTAAAAAAAGCCTGAAAAATGAGAAGATGGCGTTCTCTAGCTAATAAGAGACATCTGATTACATCTATATGTGCTGAGACCAGAGGGGTCTGTTCTGCTGGGCAGCTATGACTGGCTCACTGGCTGACACTGGCTGGCAATGCAGCCTGATCCAGTAGCCCAGGGCTGAGCGAGCAGGATTTCTTGGAGCAAGACGGATCCTTTCAGCTTAAGGGCCTCAGAAAAAAGACTTGCCTTCTCCCTCCATGGATTACCGCACTGTTCAAAATGGGAGTTTCAGTTGTGGTTGAATTTTTTAACTTTCAGGTGGTGTAACCTATTCAACCTTTGTCAGCCACCTCAGATACTCCTCTACGTGATGCATTAAGGCTGTGCTCAGGTTACTGCTTAATGTTCTCCACTATAAACTGGACAGTCCTCTTCGGTCCCTGGTGCATGTTAGCCTCAGATCAGTTCACAGACTTTTCTTTTATTCTCCCCGGTGTTTCACAAACATGTCTGCCAGAGCTGCCTGCAGTATGGCAGGGCTTGCCTTCACCCAAACTGAGCATCTGCCCTCTTCCCGCTCGTGGTTCTCGGGCACCCGGGGATGGTCCTCACCCCATCTGCCACAGCCTCATGCAGGGACCTTGTATTCACTAGGGAATTCACAGGAGGGATGCATTTTTGCTCTGAATGGCAGATAAACGCCATTCCACTGTTCTGATCTTATCAATACATATCTTGACCCTTTTCCTGTCTGAGCTGTGCATCAGGTAAACTGCATGGTTCTCCTGTTCTGGCAGCTGCGTTAATGATACCTGAACATCATCCCAAGTATGCACATGGCTTGGGAGGGAAATGGAGGGCCTGTCTCCAGAAGGCATCTCAGTGCCTTTGCTAGTCACAGCCTCCAGTGGCTTCAGAAAGTCATCCCTGGGCTGCAGTTGTGAATTAAAGGACGAAAACTGGTTTGCAGAGCAAAAAAGAGGAAGGTTAGGAGAAAAGACGAGGGGCTACGTGGGGGAGGGAAAGCTCAGAAAGCAGGTACTGAAATACCTACGGTGTTTTCATCTCTTTGCTTCCCCTTAGGCCACTGGAGAGGTTAGAGCCAGTAGGGAGTAGGACAGGCTGTGGAGATAGAGCCACTTCTTGTGACCTCCGCATGGGTCCAGGCACGCGGCTGGGCCAGGAGGACTTTAGGGCTGAAGAGAGCTCGGCTGGCACTGACCCAGGGGCCTCGGGCCCGGCCTCACCCTGATGGCAGGACCGCTCTCTGAAGGGACCCACCCTGCCCCCGCTCCTCCCTCACACAGCAGCTCCTCAGGGCACCAGCTGCTCTCAGAGGAATGGCCACAGGAGCTCAAGGGGAAATCGAGGAAGGGCAGACAGTGGGGCCTGTGGAATGACCTTCATTGCTATCACCTCTTTGGTTTCTGCTGGCTACTGTTGTTGCATTTGATCACCTACCCTGCCTGAGGCTCACATATGTTTGCTTTAACATTAATGGGTAATTTCAAAGAAACCTCTACTATTAAAAAAGCCGGAACAGCTTTGCTTTAGAAGTTTAAACTGAGAAGAAGAGAAATGGTCCTCTGTAACCCAGAGCCCCAAAGCCAAGCCCAGCCGGTGTGCACAGTCCCCCAGCCCTTGCCTGGCAGCCACTGCGAGGGGAAATGTAGTGCAGCAGCAGAGCCCTTGTGCAGATGGCTGGGTGGCAGCACCCAACCCCCCACTCCCCTCAGCGAGCTGCTTCCAGATCAAAACCACAGCCACAAGCAAGAGGAGAGAAGAAAACAAAAAAACCACACTGCATGAAAGAGGTACATAGAATCACAGAATTGTTACGTTGCAAAAGATCGTTAAGATCATCCAGGCCAACCATTAACCTAACACTGCCAAGTCCACTGCTAATCCATCTCCTAAAGCACCATATCTACACAACTTCCAAACTCATCCAGGGATGGTGCTTCAACCACTTCCCTGAGCAGCCCCTTCCAGGGCTTGACAACCCCTTCAGCGAAGAAATTTTTTCTAATATCCGACCTAAACCTCCCCTGGCACAACCTGAGGACATTTCCTCTTGTTGTCCAGGAAGACAGCAAGAGAGGGAGATGGCCTGCTCTGCATCAGCAGTGGTCGCTGAGTTTTGTATTTTCTTTTTTTATTTTAAATTTACTCCACTGTCATGCTGGTGCCAGCGTGGGGGAGAGCTCTCTGCAGCCACTGCCCTCTGGGGCTTGGTGCTGGAGTGAGAGAGGGGCTGTCAGCCCCAGACTTGGTCCTGCAGGCATCATTCCCTGGAGCAAGACTGCTCACTACATCAGCATTCCTCTTCCTCTCTATTAGAGAGGCAGGCATTATTAAAATACGTCAAGAAGGAAATTAAACAAGTTTAATAAGAGGGGGAAATTAAAATGAAACTGAAATCAATGTTCAGTTGGGTGGAGCCTTGCTCCTTTGCTGCTAGATGTGCTAATAAACCAAGTATGCCTGGAGTGTTTCTGGCACAGAGGCCAACTGGCATGAGGCGGTCTGGGCTATTAAATCACTTAACCTCCAAAATGAAGTGGCTGTATGCCAGCTGCCTAATGGGAGTGGTCCCTGGCCCATGCTAACACCTAAATGCATCTTGGGAATTGCTCAGGAGAGCAAGAGTTGTCCTGGGCCAAAAATGTGTCAGGAAATGTTCTAGCAGTTTAACAGGATCGATGAGAGTGTTCTGGTGCCTGGGAACATTCCCTGACACCACTTCATTTCTGAATACCACCGTAAGACAGAGCTGGGCTGCCTGGAAGGAGGCTGCAGGTCTGCTACAGCCATTGGCTAAGGCAAATGGAATGGCTCAGTTCACACAGCACAGCAGAGTAGCATTGCCTTTGACCTGGCCTGGAGGGGTATAGAAGGACATAGAAAGACAAGGGAAAAATAAGAAGTGGCATGCATGAGAAGCAACCAGGGAGAAAGGGAGCATGGAAGAAATACTAGCTGGAGGCAAACCATTTTCCCCACTGACTTGTAACTTGTAAGCATTATATTGTAGAGATCGCAAACCATTTTCCCCACTGACTTGTAAGCATTATATTGTAGAGATATGCCATAGAAATACAAAGACTAATGTGAATGAAGTAGGAATGTAGAATGTGAAACCACGAGAAAAAAATAGAAAACCAAGGATGAATCAACCTCTTCCTGCTGGCCCCACTGGGACAGGTGAGGGGACTGTTCATATTGGTGCTGAGGTTGCTTCTGTTGTCTCAGGAATGGGTCTTACTCAGGGTCCTAAGCCAGTTCTCTGTTATAGAAGTTTCTTCAGTTAGATGCACACAGATGCCTTGTTGTTGCCTCTTTCTTTATTCTGTAGCATAGATTCCACTACTACTTGTAGTTCCACTTTGCTGCACTGAGGAATGGTAGATACTGACTGGGAACAAGGGGCCCATCCACTGAGGTCTGAAAATCAACCATTATTAACAGAGCATTTGGGTTTTCCAGGATAGCAGCCCTTGGCAGTGGCAGTGTTTCCAGCTGTGCTGTCCCTGCAGTGATGGAGCCACATGGCATGGTGGTGAGCAGCACGCTTGCTGTCTTCTGGGTTCTACATCTGGGTGAGTCTTCAGTTCATCAAACCTGCACGGTTCCTGCAGCCTTTCCACAAGCCCCACAACATTTGGAGTGGTTTTAGGCTCCTCCCAATTTGCCGTATAACAAAACTCACACCGTTTAGAGCAGGCTCATTCCAGCCATGAAGCTGTGACAGCTGCCTTCTTACCTTGTCTGGCCCACTCCTGCACTGCCCAACAGGTCTCTGAGGGGCTATGCACTGAGGATTAGGGCAGAGGGGCTAGAAGCTGAGAGGTTCCCTACATCCATGCCCTGTTATTATAGAGGCAGCACGGACAGCTCAGGCTCTGGGACTCGGGTTGTTCCCAGCTAAAACCAGGGTGTCTGGAGCTTCACCAGGTTTGGGGAGCTGCCCTGCAGAGATGCAAGAATGGGGTTCCTGTGAGAGCCAGGATGCACACTAAGCAGAGTGGAAAATGCCACCTTCCAAACTGCCTCCAGGTGCCTGGGCAAAAATGTGTGTTCCTCATCACAGATTTGCCCTTACAAATTTGGTGTTACCAACTTGATTTGACTGCTGATGTTTGGTGGACTTTTTAGTGCTCATTTTCCAAGAAAGGGCCACGAGAATGATCCGAGGGCTGGAGCAGCTCTCCTATGTGGACAGACTGAGAGAGTTGGGGCTGTTCAGTCTGGAGAAGAGAAGGCTCCCAGGTGACCTTATTGTGGCCTTCCAGTATCTTAAGGGGGCCTACAAGAAAGCTGGGGAGGGTTTTTTTAGGATATCAGGGAATGACAGGACTAGGGGGAATGGGGCAAAGCAGGAAGTGGGTAGATTCAGGCTGGATGTGAGGAAGAAGTTCTTCACCATGAGAGTGGTGAGACCCTGGAATGGGTTGCCCAGGGTGGTGGTTGGGGCCCCATCCCTGGGGGTCTTTAAGGCCAGGCTGGATGAGGCTCTGGGCAGCCTGATCTAGTGGGAGGTGTCCCTGCTCATGGCAGAGGGGTTGGAACTGGGTGATCCTTGTGGTCCCTTCCAACCCTGACAGATTCTGATTCTGTTTTAGCAGAGGACTTAGTAGTGTTGGCTTAATGGTTGGACTTGATGATCTTAAAGGTCTCTTCCAACCTAAAGGATTCTATGATTCTATGACTGAAGAAAGCCAAGACTGCATTTCTCAGATACTCATCTTTGATTCCTCTGGTTGCAGAGGAAAGATTAGACATCTTCTATGCACTCTAGAAACAAAAGCAAAGCAAAAGATATAAACTCTTATTAATAACATGTATAATTCCACAGTTTAAGATAAAATAATAATTTTCTGTGACCAGTGACTGATTATTGAAGATCCATACTAGCAATGTTGCCAATTACCTATGCTCTTGGAGGAACAAGTAACTTGTGGAAAACCCTCCACTAGACTCACATAAACTTTTTATTTTCCACTGCTGTGGCTCTCTAGTACAAGGGTCACCTGGGACATCTGCAGGTTAGGCAGCTCTGAGAGTTTACCAACAGTGACACAGGAGACCACAACCCCCTATTTCAAATGGTACCTCTGGCACTCCATCTCCTTCTTATGGTCTGCAGAAATCCTCTTTACAGAGAAGGAAAGGAAGTGGGTTTTCCAAGAAACCACTCCTAATGTTTCTTTAGCATTGTACATCTACTTCTTTTACTGTCACATAGCCCTCATCCCACAAACAGGAACCTGACATTAGACCAGCCTTCTTTCTTTATACTTCATCCTAGGCATTCAGTCTTGCTCCATGCAAAAATTGGAAGAAGGTGTGAGCAAATTTGCCAGTGCTGCCTCAGACCTTGAGTGGTGAGTGAAGGAGGGCTGCACATATGCTGTCCTGCCTTCGCTACCAGTGGCACAACTAAATCTTGTCCAGTGCAAAAATATGTTTTCAGTAAAACTGTTGATCTCTCAAAACTGTGAATAATGCTGAATCCACCACAACCACTGGTATATTCCCTGTTTCTGAATTTACGTGAAACAGAATAGCTGTTAGCCAGATAAAGAGCCCAAAATGGAAGCTTTGGAGGGAAGCTTTGGAGCTGAAAAGGGATGGATGGATGGATGGATGGATTGGACAAAGGAGTGAAAAATTCAGAAATTGAGGATAATGTTCCCAGTATGTAGGAAAGGGAGGAGGAATATCTGTGTCTGTCTGGAGGGATGGGAAGTATTCACTGAGCCAGCCTTCAGAAGGTGAATGTATGCCTTTTTTGTGGGTATTGACTTTCAGGTCTGATTCCTACTATGGCTCAGCAAAGTGAACTGCAGATTGGGGTTGCAGGACAGGAGGTGATACTGAACTGCAGGGGCGGTGATACTGAACCTCACGGCAAAGGTTATGAACAGCACGTGACCTGGAGGCACCATAGGGCTGTTATAAGGTGGTTTAAAAATGCCCATATGAAAGGTAAGGCTTCCTGTGCATCATCCCTCTCTCCAGTATCTGGCTAAGAAACCTTTTCCCTCCTAATCAAGCTTACTTTTTCAAAAGGCAAAGGCAAAGCTACCATGACTGATCGATCTGAGATCATCCCCAACAGTAAACATCTGAAGGTGTTTGACTTAAAGATCTCTGATGCTGGCACCTACACCTGTGAATATGGTTCCTCCACAGTCAGTATTTCACTGCATGTCTTTGAATGTGAGTGACTAGAGAGCTTTTATCCGTGGGGAGGGAGGGGACTACAGAGCTCAGAAAGACATCTCTGCTGGGATTCCTTATCCAGCTGCCATTTATTCTGGCCTGGGCTGCGATAGTTCATTTCTCCTCCATCTCAAGGGAAAAAACTCTCCATATTCTCTTTGCTGTGACACTTATCCCTGTCTCACAGGAGGAGTTGACTTACGGGCTGCACTTTTTCTTTTTACAGTGACAATCTCTTCAGATGGGCACTTTCTGCCAAATGAAGTCCCTAAGCTGACTTTAATGCAAAATTCATCCAGTTCTCTACCCAATCTCAGTATCACTTTGTTTGACAGTAACAATAACAAAGTAATACCAAAACTACAACGAAAGGAGACTCCTCAAAAATTCATACTGGAGTTAAAGCAACTGAAGGTTACAGACAGCGGGACCTGGATGTGTCATGTCCATTCGGACTCTCCATTGATCAATCAGAACATCTCCTTTGATGTGAAGGTATTAGGTATGCAAAAACAAAACCACAACGCACACACAGCCTTGAGAACTAGTCCTCCCTCCATCTCAGGAGCTTTTACTTTCCAGCAACCCAAGCAACGGTGCTTCAGGGTCGATTTCCCAAGGCTTCCAACACTGCAGCTTGGGGATTGCCCTGCTGCCTGAGCTATCTTCCACACTTGCTTTTATTTTCCTCTCCAGGCTTGGTGAGGAGAGGATCCTCCTCTCCTTAGGCTCTATTCTTCTCAAGCCCTGGTGAGCTGGGGAGCTTTGGCTCTTTAAAACTATTCTGTTTATCCTTCCTGGGGTTTCTCATGGCTTTTTGCCAAGTCTTCTTTCAACTAAGCACAGCATGCATTTCTCTAGATCAAGGGTAGAAATGGGGCAGTGAAGCCAAGGCTTTCCATGCTTCTGTATTCCTTGTCTCTTCTGAAATCAGGTTTTCAGAATCCAGATTCGGAAAGAAAGTATGCAGCTGTTGACAGCACTGTTGTCTTGTCATGGGATCTCAACTTCCAGGAGATAAAATGGAAAAAAGGTTTCACAGGACAACTGAGTTGGAAACAACAGGAGAGTGCAACTGCTCATGAGCTACTTGATTTCAATGTCACAGAACAGAGAAAGCAGCATGAGATGAAAAAAAGCAGCCGCTTTTGGTTTGAGATACCTGAAAGCAAACCTAAAAGTACCATACAAGTGAAACTCCCCAAAGTCCATTTCAACCACTCGGGACAGTACCAGTGCCAGCTAGAATACGACAGAGCATACACACAGAACAAGATAGAGCTGGTGGCAATGAAAGGTGAGATAGAGAAAAGTGGGTCAAGAAGCTGCAGAAATCTGGAAGAAATCTGGAAGATTTCTGGAAGAGTATGGGTGGACCCATCCTTCCCATCCTCTCACTCCCATGTCCTTTTCTTACCTTTACAGTCTCAGCTAACCCTTCTGGGCCACTCCTCAGAGGGGCTAAGATGACCCTGATCTGTCAGGTCTCTAGTCCACTCCCATCCAACACTCACTTGCTCTGGGAACGTGTGAATGGAACTCAGATGGACATCAGGAAGTCAAAGCAGCATGAAACGAAGGTGGAGGTGGACGTCAGCGCTGCAGGGCTGTGGAGCTGTCACCTCACAGAAGACAATGACAGGAAGATCAGCATTCATTACCGCGTAGGTATGGAAATCAGATTCACATCCCTGCCTACACCCCAAAGCCTTAAAATTCTCTTTGCCTCTGTGTCTGAATACTTTTCTCCTTCCACAGAGGAAGCTCCTGTTTGGATTAGCTATGTGGTAATTGGAGCAAGCATTGGAGGCAGTGTGTTGGTGTTTGTCCTTGCATGCCTGTGCATCATCGCTGGTATAAGCTGGCATCGGAGGAGGGTGAGTGCCCTGGTCCCTGTGAAAGGTGAAGAAATGACAGTCTACCCTAACCATAGTCTGACTTTCTGTCTGGGTGGAGGGCAGAACAGATAACAGGTCAATCCTTAGACTCAAAGCAAATGTTTAGAGGCAGACAGTTTGCAAATGTTAGACAGTAGTTTGCTTCCACTTCAGAGGAAAGCATTTGAAGCAATAAAATATCTAACCATTTATTTCTTCTCTCCTGTCAGCAACGGGCAAAAAGGATGGCACAAGCAAGACAATACTTGCTGGAAAACAAGACATGCCAGTGTCGGCAGTAAGTGGCAATGAGGGCATTCAGAACGGGCAAAGACTCTGGCTTCAAGATAGAGGAGATGGATGGCTGAGTGAGGAGAAATGGAGCTTGAGCCTGCTTAGTGCTACAGTATAGCTGCACTTCAGCATTTTCAGCTCTTACTCATGTTAAGTCATGCTTAAGAGTTCTAAGTTACATTTAATTAATTTCCTTTTGTGCCCCAAACCCATGGTAGCACTGTGCTGGGAAATTTTGGAGCAGAGAGGTTTCATCTGAATTACTGTGATGTTAAGAGATATTAGCCAAACCCAAGCAGGAGCTCCAGGGTCCTTTGATAGATTCCACAGTGGATGTGGGACCTGGATATTGAGGTGGTGGAGGTGGAATACACACAACCAAGCTCAAGGATGAAACTCAAATTTTAAGAATCTATGCTATCTATAATGTAATTCTAGCTCTGCTAGCACAGTTCTGGAATGCAATCTGTGAAAATTGCCAATAATATGCTGGGAGCAAGGAAAGAAAAGAGAGAATCACAGGACACAGTGAACCATGCTCTCTCCCAAAGGTCTTGGGTGATATGTAATGCATCATCATGTCCTGGCCCTTTTCATGTAAGCAAGGATTTCTCAGCAGAGAAGCTGCTCTGTTCCATGTCTTAACACTTAGATGGTGTCAGGCATCAGAACCTGCTGTGGAGCAACACTGGCAGATCTTCTGTCGTTGGAAGCAGAGAGCTAAGGACAGCATAACTGATTGCATGAACAAGCTCAATGAATGTATAGGTACAGAACTGGCTTCTGCTTCATTTTTGTTAGTGACAGTGGCAAACTTTGATAGTTTCACCTCTTGTGGTTGGTTTTGTTTTGTTTTGTTTTGTTTTTTTTGTTTGGTTTGGTTTTTTTTTCAACTGTTACCAAGAATTCAGTGAGAATTTTTATTGGAAAATACTACTTCCTATCTGGGATGTATATGTGGTGAAGAGCTGGTTAGCACAGCATGTGTCAAAGAATTCACTTCATTTTCATCTCCTTTTTATCATATCTGAAAAATAATCCCCATAAGGAGAGGACAAAGCCTACATCAAAAAGTAGATAAATCAGTGCAATATAAGTGCCAACACAGTTTTTTAACCCTCTTTGCCAGGTAAGCAATCCGATGTAACTGAAACCTAAACCACAGCCAGGCAGATGGACAAGTAATCGTTTGGATCCTCAGCTAGAGGCCAGCAGTCATTCTCTACAATACACAGAGAAGTGGGGTGCTGGCTGGGTTTGAGGTGCCTGGGTGCAGCCTGCCACCACTGCACTGCTGGCACTCACACGCTGCTTTTCTCTCGCAGCCGTCTGAACAAGTAGCATTGCACCAGCGCCAGAAGAGGGGTGAAGTCTCTGCCTTTACCTGGACACCTGCCAGCCCACAGTGCTCTGTGAATCCATCTCCATTTTCCCTGTTTTGATGTAATTCTTTATTCCCTCATCATTCCCCAAGCCTAGTGCCATGGAGGGATGTTATCTGGCTGGGACAAGATGGACAGTGGACCAGACAAGAAATCCGTAAGGGTTATGATTGATCTCCAGTTCCATAATGAGAAACAGTGAAGAGAAGATATAGACCTACATATACGTGCTTGTATTTTGCATTTTGCTCATGCACTTAATCTGACCTTCTTGTGGAACAAATTTTATGCACTTCTGTTGTCTGATTGAGCTACAATAAATTACTTAGAGTTAGGGGCTTTTTTTGTGCAAGCTGGACTAAATTTTTTTCTGAGGCATTCTCTTGTCTGGTTCAAATTCACATTCCTCCCTTTCCTGCTAGGATGTGGAATCCTGATTCTCATTATCTCCCACTTCACTGGCTGTTACGAGCCTTCCTTAACACACTAGGCCTCTGCTCTCTGTGAAGCCTGTTCATCCTCTTTTGCCTTTCCTGGTCAGTCTGAGCCCCACAGCATCCCTCAGCCTGTAGTCTTCACCTCTTCCACAACAAACAAGTGAAAACACCACAAGCAGTGGGATATTTCAGGATTAATTTTTCAGAAAGGCAGTTCAGGATACTAACTGTGTCTGGAAATCAGAGCCTAAAGAAGTTGTGAATGTTGACCTAGAAGGTAAGTTTAGGAAAGAGATGACAAAGAAATTTCCTAGGAAAACAAACCAGCTTTGGACTGAACAAGCCCACAGAATGCAGGGATCAAATGCTTCTGAGAAAGCCACCAAAAACTGTTCTCACCAAAATGACTCTGTTGGCTCAAAGAGGGGAGGGAGAGGGAATTAAAAGCTTAGGAAATTGAGGATGGAAGTAAAAGCATGTTGCAGAGATGCCAGAATGTCCTGAAAGAAAAATATTGTTAAAATGTGTATACAGAAGCCTTGTGTTTATAGAATTTATTCTACCATCTGCTAGCAGCAGGTCAAGAAGGCCTTGAGGTCCTCCAGCTGTCACTGGCTGCAGCCCAGGTTTGTCTGTGCTGGGCTTGCTGGGGAGAGGCAGAGAGGGGCGATGGGCTGTGGGAAGGGCTCCTCGTGGCAGAGAGCCCCTAGCAGGAAGCCCAGTGCTGGAGGAGGGGACTTCTCTGCAGCAGTCCCACCAGTCACGTTGCTATTGACAGTGACAAGGCAGTTACCAACGGCAGAGACAACACCTGTGAGCTGGGGAGATCTTCCCCCCTCATCTCTCCCCTGGAGCAGCGACCAGGCAGCTGTGGCAGCAGGTGTGGGCTGCCACCAGTGTTATGCCTGCTCCTCCACCATCATCCTCACACAAACAGGAGTGATGAAGGCCCACGCTATTGTCACTTTCCTTTCCACGGGTTGTGTTTGTGCACAAGATCTATATTAAGTGGTGAGTGCCACCGTTCCTCCCACTTCTGTCACGTCCCTGAACTGCCAGAGTACTTTGGGAGCCAGTTGAGCCCCATCAACTCTCATCTGAAGGAGAGATCCATTTGTCGAGCTGAGTGTAGGGTCAGTGGTGGTCAATACAACGATCATAACAAAGTGCTTGGCATAACCCCCTCAACCAAAACCAACCCCTGCTCCTGCAGTCCAGAGCATTCTCCTTAAATAGCTCCTCAAGTAGTTATTAAAGTACTTTCACCACTGCAAACTGACTCGATTCAGGTGATTTGTCATGTGGGACTCTGCACAGCAGCCTTCCACAGTTGATGTTTCCCCACAATGGATTAGGCCACATCAGTGAACAGGGAACATCACATCTTGTCATCTGGTAGTTTGTTCTGTGGTGAGGCCTCTTGCAGCACATATTACCTCCTGCTCTGGTGACATCTCAAAATCTTTGCCCTCTGGCCAGTTTGAGATCAATTCCAAGACTTATGGGCTGCTAGGGCTCCAAGCCCATTGTGTTATGAGTGCAATCCACCTACTTTACATGCCATCAGTCATATGGTGTGGAGAGAAGACCATCCCTTTGAGCATCCAGAGCAGCACTGGCAGTCGGGGTACCAGGAGGAGCTGTCCTTCACTATTGATCACTTCCAAGGCAGCTCAAACTCCTTCAGATGCTGCCAGTATTTCTTTCTCAGTGTGAGTGTGCTTGGCCTCAGAGTCTTTGTATTCCTGACTCCAAGATCCTAGGGGTTAGCCTCAGGTGTCTCCAGGTGCTTGCTGCCAGAGGCTCCAGGTAGGACCATGCTTCCCAGCTGTAGAGTACATATTTTACATCATGTCCTGGCTAGATTGGTCCAATGGCTGCTGCATGCACAATCTCCTGTTTAATTTGTTCAAAAGTTTACTGCTGCTCAGGGCTCCAGCTGAAATAATTTTTCTTCCAGGTCACTTGGTAGAGAGGGCTCACAGTCAGACTGCAGTCTGGGATGTGCTTCCTCCAGAAACCCACCTTGCCCAGGAAAGCCTGTGTTTCCTTTTTACTGTTTGGCAAGGACATAGCTGCTATTTTGTTGATAACATCCACTGGGATCTGCCAATTTTATTGCCATTTTATTCCTGAAAACTGGATCTCCTGTGCAGGTCCATTAACCTTACTTCATTTTATGGCAAAAGCACCCTTCAGAAGGATTTGAACTATTTTCTTCCCTTTCTCAGAAACTTGTGCTGCGTTGCCCTGTACAGTGATGTCATGGATGTATTGCAGGTGTTCTGGAGCCTCACCCTGTTCCAGTGCAGTCTGAATCAGCCTATGGCAAATGGTGGGGCTGTGTTCCCACCCCTGGGGCAGCTGATCCCACGTGTACTGGATACTCCTCCAAGTGAAAGCAAATTGTGGCCTGCACTCTGCTGCAAAAGGGATTGAAAAAAACACGTTAGCAGTATCCATTGTGCTGTCTCACGTGGCCACCTAGTTCTCATTGAAGCTCCAGCATGTCTGGTACAGCAGCACTTACTGCTGGCATAACTTCATTCAGGCCACAGTAGTCTACTGTTAGTCTCCATTCTCCATTAGACTTTCACACTGGCCATATGGGGCTGTTGAAGTGTGTTTGGTGAGTTTCAGGGATCACCCTCTGGCTTTCTGGTTGGTGAATCAGATTCTGGATAGGAATCAGGGAGTCTTGATTGGTGTGATATTGCTGCTGGTGTATCCCTGTGGCAGCAATTGGCACCTGCTGTTCTTCAACCCTCAGCAACCCCACCACAGAAGGGTCCTCTGAGAGACCAGGCAAGGTGGGCAACTTCTGTTTGCTCTCTCTCCAAAGCAGCTATACCAAAGGCCCACTGGTACCCTTTTGGGTCCTTGAAATATCCTTTCCTGGGGCGCTCTGTGCCAAGGATGCACAGGGCCAGTCACAGTGAGAAGTAAGATCAGCCCTTCTGCTCTGGGGAATTTCCCACTTGGCTGGTTCCTTTGGCTATCCTGGCTGTGGCACCTCCCAGCTTCTTGTGAAAATTAACCTTATCCTAGCTGAACCCAGGTCACTGGCCAGAAAAGACTAAGATAATAGGGCCTACCTGGTCTCCAGCACAGGGTCCATCAAATCTGGCCTGTCCAGCTTGAAATGCACGGGTAGCAGAGAATGGCTGCACCAGTGGCTTGGAGAG